TCTTATTTTACCTGTATGGGTGTGTTGCCTGCATATGTATTTTCACTCACCTACTTGGTGTCTGAGGCCATGATCCCCTAAAACTGTAGTTGCAGACAGTTGTGAGCAACCAAGTGGATTCTGGGATTCAAGCCCTGTTCCTTTAGGAGAGCATCCAGTCCTCTTAACTTCTGAGCCATTTCTCTAGTAACTTTTTAAATGCATTATAGAAATATTTTAATTGCTTTATTTAAAATCTAGGTAATTTTTAAAATTCTCTCTCAACTTTGTTGAAGTAAATCCAGATGTTATGCATCCTAGACAAAGACTACACCAATATGGGAAACTCCATTGCTCTCTCCTACAGTGCAAGCAAGGGAAAGACTTGCTATATTCTGTACAACGGTCTTGGAAAGTTGGACCATGGTGGTAAGACACAAGGCAGCAATGAGATCACAGAGAGAACTGCTGCATTGCGAAACTATGTTTGATGGCACAGATATACTAAATAGTTTCAGATCATATATTTTCAATTTATTTGTTTTCAGGACATAGGTCCACTGTAAATAAAGGATAAGACTAATTAGTTTTCAACAGTGGGTCTTAAATACCATATGGCTAAGAGCAACATGGTTTATCTGTGTTGAAGTTATGTCTCTCTAATGTCAGTCTATAAGGAATAATCCAAATAGAGGTGAAATATTGTAATCCTATGTACCCCTATCTGGCACATGCTCGCTGACGCTAACTGATCACTTTCCATCTCTGTCTCTGTGATTTCTACAGGTCCTCTGCTCTGCAAGTGAAGAAGTACTGGGCTTGTCCACTAGATGGCAAACAGTTACTCAGGGAAGCAGATTTTTGACAAAATACTTTTTCAATTTTGTTATAAAAAGTAGTTTTTTATTTATTAAAAAAAGTACCTGAAAGCAACTAAAATCTTTATCTAGGAACACAACTGTCCCATTACTGTCTCCTTACAGTGTTTATGAACCATATGAGGAATGTCGACCACCACAGTATATTATACTTCACTCCCCACAAATACGCATAATGAATAAACAAAGATGGAAATTAGCATGCAAAAGGACAACTAGTATAAACACAATTTAAAAAACAAACATGAGAGGCAGATGTTCCCCAAATGAATCCTACTACAGAATAAGCACACAGTATCAAGTGTCAAGCAAAACAATTCCTCATAACCAGGATTGCAGAACGCTGAATTAGAAAAAAGTGACATGACTTCATTAAGCAATCTAAACAAGGTCTGAAACTTACACCATTATAGAGTTTATATATGATGGAAATAGTGTTCGAATACACATTGCAGAACATTGACTTGACAGCACTGAGAAGTAGCTGCAGTACATAATTAAAAACAGAAGCAAAGAAAATTAATTCAAAATCTACAGAAAATGTATTAATATGCAAATACAAGGAAAAGTGATCTAGGCACAAATGTCACTGAAGGAGATAATCCAATACCATTTTCAAACGTGTAAACCTTTAATATAGAAGAGTTCTATGCAACTGATGGAAGAGTTGAACCTGTGGGGTAAGGCTGCACATACTCTATCCACTGAACTGAATATCAATGGCAGTTCTCAAAGAGCAGAGACCCATGAGGATGCTACAAAATGCTATTTGACCAGTTTAGTCCATTATCTCACAAGACTTTAAGCTATGGCAAATGAATGTGTGGGTGTGCATTTCTGTGATGCGGATTCAGAATCACATAAGTGGATTCAGAAAGACCATAATACAAAAAAAGTACAGCACTAAAAACACATAATAAGCATCCAGTCACAGGGTACAATTAAACTCAAGTTCAAAGACTTCCTATCAAACAAAAGGACCATTATTCATTAAAAGAATCCAGCAGAAAGTGGAGACTGAAGACTCATGACAAACAGGAGCAATGTCTAGTCCCTTTGCTATGAAAGATATTGAAGGCAGGATTTAAAAGGGTATGACATTAGTAAAGCTTGTAGAAGAATGTGAGTGAAATCTGAAGGTTCTGTGGCAGCATTATACTAATATTGCTCAATGATTTATATGACTATGCTGTGGATATGTGTGATAAAACTATATATGAATGTCTCAAAAGTAAGGCTGGCTTTCACAGTTAATTCAGGATAATACCATTGTTTGTGCTGACAACTTTTTGATAAGATTGAGATTATCTCAAAGTGAAAATGTTTCAACTGGTCAATGATTCCCCCTAATAAATGCCTTGTGGTGGGTTGAATAAGAATGATTCCATAGGTACTTTTATTTGACGACTTGGTCCCCAGTCAGTGGAACTTTTTGGGAAGGATTAGGAGGTCTGGCCTTAATGGAGGAAGTAAGTCACTGGAGAATAGTTTCAAAAGACTCATCAAAAGATGAGGCCATCCCTACTATTTCCCTTTCTTCTTTTCCCCTCTCCTTCCCTCCCCCTTCCTCTCGTCTCCTCTCATCTCTTCTCTCCTCTTGCTCTCTAGCTCTATCTAGCTTTTTATCTGCCTCCTACTTTTGGATCAGGCTGTGATCTCTCAGCTGTTCCTGACAGCATGCCTTTACTCAATCATCATGGACTCTAGCCCTCTAAAACCATAGAAGCCCAATTAAAAGTTTGCTTTTATAAGTTGCCTTGGTCATGGTGCTTTGTCACAGCAATATAAACCCTAACAAATACACGTCTGCTGCAGGAAGAATAATGGCTCTCAAATACATCCATATCCTAATGCCCTAATGTTGCTTTTCCTGTTAAAGGGGGCTTAATGCTGTGATTGGATGAAGTCTTTGGATAATGAGTAATCTACATGGATCTAATATTATAAGTGAAGGGGGGATATAAGAAAGCCAAAGGAGCCCTGTTCATAAAAGTTAATGACACAGTGCTGCGATTTTTAGGGTCAAGAGCCAAGAAATGTGGAATCATCTAAACATTGTTCAAACTTCTCTTAGGAAGACATGAACAAATGTCTGCTCACCCCAGATAAGGTACCTACTGATGACAAAATGATGTCAGCTGAGTCTAGCTTGATGAACAACAGTTTTACTGAGTTTGCGTGCAGGAGTGAAGGCAAGTACTTACTTAAGGAAGCCCAAGTGGCTCAAAGGCAGTTGCATCACCATAAAGCCCACAGCAGCATGAGTAATGATTCACAAGATGCGTCCTAGTAGCAGCAGGCCCAACAGCAAGCAGCTCCTCAAGAAATTCTGTAAGATGGCTTGCATTGCTCAAAATGACTATATTTGGCTACAGGGACCAGACAAAATCCTCATTTATACAGATGGGTGATAATATGCATAAGAATCACTTTACTTCCCAGAAATTATAGAATAAATATGATTACATAATGCATATTATATAATGCTCCATATATTATGTAACACAGCATGGCAGTTTCTTCCCCTTGCACTGTTAAAAGTAGCTTTGGTGAAGAAGGTCCTTATTTCCTCAGGATATACCTGGGCAACGCGCTGCAAGAGGGATGCATGTAGTAGAAATGACAAAGTCTTGCAAGTTTCACTGGCAATGAAATGACTGCTCCATTTCATGGAAAAGGACACTGGTGAAGATGCAAGACAGAGCTACTGTGTGACAAGGGCATGAACACAGGTATCTGCAATCCAGGTAGGAAACAAAGAGTGTATCTCTCCTGGGTGCTGTGTGAATGCCACACACTCTGTCTCTCTCCTCCAGGTATGGTCAGCTTACTGCGATAAACCATTCTAATGAGTAAGAAACATTCACTTCTCGATTCTGAGTATTGGCCATGGCTCTGGTAGGCACAACTAGGTTCCTGGTAACTGCTATTCTTGAATTGAGATCTGGACCACATGTGAAACCCATTGTGAGACCCATAATTCACTATTATGCTGAGACCCATGGTGAAAACTTACAATCTAAACATGCTGTCCTTGGAAAAGTTATGATCAGGAGAGCCATGGACTTCCAGGAGCCAAAAGGAAGCCTGCATTTCCACTCACACTGCTTTGGGTGGTGGCAAGTCACAAGCCAAGTCAGACTGGAAGCAAAAAAAGAAGTCAGAAGAGAGAGGAAGTATTTGCTGAACCACATACAACCCAAGCCTAGTATTGTGTGGATTTTGGAGAGCCAGTGAGGTGAGCTATGCTTTAAACCCACAAGAACTTAAAATGATGAGCTTTATAAATAAGAAGAGGAGCAAAGTAGAAAACAGGTATAATTTGATTTCCACTCAAGAGAGAAGCCAGCCAGACATTGGTGGCGCACACCTTTAATACCAGCAATTGGGAGGCAGAGGCAAGTGGATCTCTGTGAGTTCGAGGCCAGCCTGGTCTCCAGAGTGAGTACTGGGG